TTTGCACTGAGTCCCTTAGTGTGTCAATTTTTAAACACTCTCCCAAATCTTCCCTCCTGCCAGGACCATTATCAGTTCCTCTATGACATGGCAGAGAGCGCCTTCCCTGCCCAGAACGGTGAAGTCAAGCAAAACCCAGCCAAAGGAGCGGACTTTGTGGACATAGTGGATGAAACGAAAGAGGTTATAGAGCCGAAGAGCAGTGCTACCAAAGCTGGCCAGCAGGGGGACAATGAAGAAGAGGCCCTGGTGCAGAATTAATCAGACAGCAAGGCGGAGGCTGAGAAACCTACAGAGGATGGTACCAAAGATCCCAGTGCTATCAAGGAGGAAGCCATGGAGAATGACATCAAAGATCCCAGTGCTGTCAAGGGGGAAGTAATGGAGAATGATATCAAAGATCCCAGTGCTGTCAAGGAGGAAGCCATGGAGGATGATGTTACTAGTGTAGAGAATTAGGAGAAGCATATTTTTTTATCTTTACTTTAGTGTGTGGTACATTCTATACATAAAATATGTAGGGTAGTTTCTCTGTGTAGTAATTTTCCTAATGTGAAACTTTTTTTCTGTTTTTGTTTTGTATTGCATTTTTGAACATGAATATAATGTAAATTCAGAGTAAAACCAGATATAAGCAGGAAGAAAAGTTTTGTTGAATACATAATTATAATACATTGTGATGTCGTTGGGTTGGTCAGTCATTAATTATGCTGTTAACGGCATGCCTGGTGTGGGGGAATTAGTATGGGTAAACCCTGCCGCTTAATGTGTCTGTGTGAGCACTTATGTTGGAAGTGTGTACTGTTGCCCTGTAAGTGTGTGTTTCATTGAAGTCTCACCCTGAGTGTGCCAGGTAAATAGTTGACTGACCTTGTCTGCGCTATGAGAGAGAGTGCTTTGTCATTGGTCTGTCATATAAAGGCAGGCCTTCTGATGGAACAAGTGTGACGTGCCTCATTCAAACAACTCTCCATAATATTATAAAATTGAGCCTTTTGGAATGATCAGCTTTTTTCTTTTACTGGAAATAGAAATGTTGAGTTTTGGCAAAAATAAACATAATTACAAATCACTTTTTCCGTTGGTGTATTTGGGAATATGTTTGTTTTATTTGTACAAGTGCTCCTCCTCTCACAATAGAGTTATGAATGGGTTTCAGACTGTCCGGGCAGACAGGAACCACCAGCAGCAAGAGGAAACAGACTGGGACGTACTGTGTAATGCACATGGGATGGATATAGATGGAATGACTGACTGCATTGCATATTATATAAACTTTTCCGTTGATAACATTGTACCCACCAGAACTGTACATTGTTATCCTAACAACAAANATCGATGTGAACAAAGGCTATCCCGTGCGGTACAAACCAACACAAGGGCAACTGTGGCACAAATGTCAGATCACTTTAAAGATGTGGTCACAACACACAGTACCTGGATCCCTGTTGTAAATGGGGCTGTCAGAGTACCCATGCTGACCCCTGTCCACCATAGAAAGCCCCTACAATGGGCACAAAGTATCAGATCTGAACCTTGGAGCAATGGAAGAAAGTGGCCTGGCCTGATGAATTTCATTTTCTGTTGGATTATGTTGATGGCCGGGTTTGTGTCAAATATCTGTGGGATGCATTAAGTCTGATCCACAGCTATGCAGCTCTATGCACAGCAGGGCAATGCGTGTTTGAAGCAACATACTGTATGAGTTCAGTATTACAGCTAACAGGCAGTCTTGGTCTTATCAACTACTCTATGTTGCTGGTGTAATTTATTTCCAAAATGTTCCAAAACTAGTGATTTAAGTGACATAGGAGGGTCTTTGATCTCCAGCTCTAACCACAATCAATTAGTATAATATATGCATGTTGAAGATCTGGTTGAACATCTAGTGATAGAACATCCCCACATATCTTTATTAAATCCTGACAGTACTATTTTAATGGCAAAAGAGGGTTTGCACTGATGCCCTTAGTGTGTAAATTTTTAAACACTCTCCCAAATCTTCCCTCCTGCCAGGACCATTATCAGTTCCTCTATGACATGGCAGAGAGCGCCTTCCCTGCCCAGAACGGTGAAGTCAAGCAAAACCCAGCCAAAGGAGCGGACTTTGTGGACATAGTGGATGAGACGAAAGAGGTTATAGAGCCGAAGAGCAGTGCTACCAAAGCTGGCCAGCAGGGGGACACTGAAGAAGAGGCCCTGGTGCAGAATGAATCAGACAGCAAGGCGGAGGCTGAGAAACCTACAGAGGATGGTACCAAAGATCCCAGTGCTGTCAAGGAGGAAGCCATGGAGAATGATATCAAAGATCCCAGTGCTGTCAAGGAGGAAGCCATGGAGAATGATATCAAAGATCCCAGTGCTGTCAAGGGGGAAGCCGTGGAGGATGGTGTTACTAGTGTAGAGAATTAGGAGAAGCATATTTTTTTATCTTTACTTTAGCGTGTGGTACATTCTATACATAAAATATGTAGGGTAGTTTCTCTGTGTAGTAATTTTCCTAATGTGAAACTTTTTTTCTGTTTATGTTTTGTATTGCATTTTTGAAAATGAATATAATGTAAACTCAGAGTAAAGCCAGATATAAGCAGGAAGAAAAGTTCTGTTGAATACATAATTATAATACATTGTGATGTCGTTGGGTTGGTCAGTCATTAATTATGCTGTTAACGGCATGCCTGGTGTGGGGGAATTAGTATGGGTAAACCCTGCCGCTTAATGTGTCTGTGTGAGCACTTATGTTGGAAGTGTGTACTGTTGCCCTGTAAGTGTGTGTTTC